TTAATTATGATAATACTTACACCAACCTATTTATTTAAATAAATAAATAAAAAATGAAAATTAACGGTCAACAACATATTCAAAAATAATATTGTAAATATTAATTATAATAATGATGACGAATGATACTTACAGCCTATTTATTAATTAAAATAAATAATAAATAAATAAATAAAATGAAAATTAAATGGTTAATATTTTTTTCAAAAACAATAAATTAATAATAATAGTAATGATAGTTACATCCATCTATTTATAAAATAAAACAAAACGAAAATTAAGTTAATATTTTTTTTTTTACAAAACAATAATGAATATTGATTTGTTGTAAGATTTACCAGGATGGACAGCCGGAGTAACGTCAGATTTAGAGGCAGGTTCAAGTGGCGCTGCTAAAGTGACGGCAACAAAAGCAACAAAAATAGTTGATAATAGAAGGAAAATATTGAATTTCATTTTGATTTTTTAGTTAATTGTTGTTGGTCTTTGTTATTAATTTTATCAAATCTTGATTTTATACTATATTTAAGAAAATTAAAATATTCGGGATCGGAAAGGGTTCAAGATTTCGAGACAGACCCATGATATTTCAACTACGGTATCCTTCCTTAATAGCTTTCATAATGATAAATATTGATAAGAAATCGATTCATTTATCCATTTGGAGTTTCATTCGAACTGACAATCTCGATTTAGAATTAAAAAGGATTATGTCTCCGAATGATCACAATTTCGACTCATTCATTCGAACTGAATGTCATAATTTAGAATTAAAAAGACAATGTCTCCGAATGGTCACAAATTCGACTACTGACAATCCCGAATGTCAAAATTTGGAATTAAAAAGAAAATTGATAAAAAAGGATAATGTCTCCGAATGATCACGAATTCGACTCATTCATTTCATTCGAACAGACAATCCAGAATGACTCTAATATATATTGATGTGGCTTAGATCATGCAAAAACCGTTAACATACATAAATTACCGCGACGATACCGCGTGTCTTAGGTTAAATCATCTCATATCGAATGATTTTATATATTACATGTCTTAGATATGTAGATAATTGATTTGAAAATTTCGATCTGCTCAAAATAATGTGACCGTGTGAAAAAAATTATTCAGTGCACGTCCCAATCGTCCCATAGTTAGTATCAGCTCGTCTTAATAAATTCCGAAAAATACTTTCTTTACCCCATAAAGTAGAGTTGGTATGAATAAAAAATTCTTACTCGTAAAGTCAATAAAGCATGGATAAATTCTTCTACTTCTTCCGCTGATTCTTTGCGAAAGAGTATTTTGCTCTCAAAATCAGAAAGTAGTACCTGATGCCTTTTTCACGTACCAATCCATGTATTTCAATATATTCACCTGCGATATTGACACCAAACCCTTTTACAGCTATATAATTTCTATTAAGAGGCTCTCTTTTACATATTTTAAAAAGCTCATCAGTACCGTCTATACAGAGTTGCACAATTTATTATGATCGCTATGAATTTTTTCATCATCACAATTCCATTTTCCACTCTCAACATATACAATTTCTTCCCATTTATTACACAAATCATAAGATCCGGTTTATCCCTTTTTGTTGTTGAACTTTCCGATTTTGCTAGCTATACTCTGTCATTCAGCTCTTGTAACCTCAATTTCATAGTCTACAGGAAAACGGTACATAGCAGTATCTATTAATCGAGCTATAATTTCTACAAAAGAATTTTCAGAAACCCTACAAAATACATTTAACTTTATCTCTTGTAAAAGTACGTCAGTAATTCCTCTTGCTACACGTTCTTTTTCATGTTCTTCTTCAACTCATTGGTTATGTGATATCGTTTCTGATGACGATAGCACAAATTTGTGTAGCCGATAAATTTCTCTCCTTTTTAATATGAAATCAGTGCATACGTTTTTTATTTTGGAACTTTTGATCAACTCTCTTATACTGTACCTGCCTTTTCTCCTTACCCTATAAAAAATTTTATCCGTTATTTCTGTAAAAACTCTGTAAAAATGAGCCTTTCACAGATCCATTCACGGAAAATGTAAATAGATCGATAAATTCCATTAATTCCGGAAATATGAGCCTTTTACAGAAAATAATGGAATATAAAAAACGGATCGACTTTTTTACAGGGCTAATGAAATTATAAAAAGCAGTTAGCATATCAGATACAGTCAATGCTCGTTATAGTGAAGCTAGTGAACTTTTTTTATTCCCCAGTTCACATCTTATTTTTTATAGTGAATATCACGTGAAATCATTAGGTATATTATATTGTTCGCGAATCACTTTAAACACAAAATTAGGATTGGTATTCCACTTTATTATGGTAATTGAATTATAACAATGAAATTATTTATATAAGAAATTAAATTTACAAGATCGTATTATGAAATGCCAATAGAACTATTATCAAATAAAGAAATTATAAGTATAATAATTCTAAATCCTGAAAATAATAATACAAAAGAGAATGAAAAATTAGAAATAATACTCTTATTATTAATAAAGAAGCTTAAGGAATTTAGAAAATAATTCATTGGTTTAAAATCTACTAAATATACACAGAATTGGAAATTCTTAAGGTTTTAAAATCAAAAATTAACAAAATACTTTTGTTAACCTTTTTTTTGTATTAATATAAAGTTCACTATAAAGAAATCTTTCATTTTTGTGAATATTCATTATAGTGAATAAAAATGGTTGAAACTGAGAGTTCACTATAACAAACTTTAACTGTAATATATGCTTTATTTAAGAAATAAAATATTGCCAAAGTAATTAATATATAAAAAATAATATTTGCAAATTACATTACTATTTTATAATATGAATAAAAAATTCCTAACTATTCATTAGAAAAAAATTCAGATATGAATATGATCATTATTATCAGATGTCTTATTAAAGTAGGAAAAATCCTATTTTATATTTGCAAAGACTTCTTTTTAGAATAAATTTGGTGGAAAAAACATTATGATTAATTGGCTTTAACTTTTTTCTTACTTTATTTTTAAGATCAAAACTTGTTTATTTGCTAAAGTAAACTTCATAGTAAGAAAATTGCTTAGCCCACTTGCATATAAATATACTTTAACATATATATATTTTAATTTTTTGTGAAAAAATTGGTTAAACTTTTATATATTATATATACTTTATATTTTACTAAAAAAAAATAAGGAGACAAAAAGAATGATTAGTTTTAATATATAATATCAAGAGTTTATGAATATGGAATTTATATCTTTTATATAAAAATCTTCTTTGTAAGATGTAAAGTTACTTTAATGTCTAGCAATTTTAAAATTAGAAAATTTTTAATCCTTTATAATATATACTTTTATTATCAATATTAACTTATAGAAAAGGTTTTATGTTACATGTAAATCTCCTTTCATATTTTCTTATGTTCATTTAAAAAAAATAAGAATAGAAATTAATATATTTTTTTTTACTTATATATATATATAAAATTTACCTGTAATATAATCTTTTTGGCATTATTCNATTTTATTACAACTAAAATGAGTGACTCCGAATTTATGTCAAGCGATGATGAAATTTTCGATGAGGCTTTTGATAATGATTTTATTGAAAATATTCTTAACGACAGTGACTCTGATGGTGAAGATAATGGTGGTTCCTCCAATGAAACTCTGAAATTGGAAGTATGGTTTTTCTCACCTGGAAGATTGCATTTAACCACATCAAGCAATGGGCTCATCAACAGGGCTTTAGCATACGCAAAGGAAGATCAGAAAAAATAGAATCTAAATTAAGAAAATAAACAATTGTATGTTTTTGTGAAGGAGTTTATAATAATCAATCAAAAAAAACTAACAAACCATCAAAAACACATCGCACAAACTGCAAATAGCATGTTAATCTTTCTCGGCCAACAAAAAATAACTAAAACTCTATGATTTTCATTACTACAATTGTTGATAAACATTCTAGACACAGTTTGGATCTTTGTGCACATCGATTTGAAGCAGATAAAGCTTTTACAAAACTAATGTTAGATGATATTGAATGGATATATGTGCATGGTCATTTAAAGCTATTAGCAATTAAATGAATGTTAAAGGCTAAATATAAACGTAAAGTTTATAACAAGGATCTTTATAAAATAATTTACAAATACCATCGCAATATTGATCAATTAGGCAATGATGTTTCACAACTTTTTGAGTATCTTGAAAAATGTAAGGAAGATGATCCACATTAGTGCTCTACATAAGCCAAGCCAGCTCGTGAGCTTTTAAGCTGAGCCAAGCCAAGCCAAACCAAGCTGCAGTTATATCTTGGCTTGGTGCTGGCTTAGCTCAATTTATTGTAAATTAAAACTAAAGTTTCAAAACGCGATAACTTCGCCAATATTGCTCCAAATTTAATGAATTTACTACCATTTGATTCCTCTTGATGTGACGAATCTAATGGTAGTAAAATCATTAAATTTGGAGCAATATTGGCGAAGTTATCACGTTTTGAAATTTTAGTTATAATAAATTTTATATGATTTTGAAAATGAGCTAGCTTGTGAGCTTTTGGAACAAGCCAAGCTGAGCCAAACTGAGCTAGCCCTTGGCTCGGCTCAAGCTGGCTCATGTAGAGGCTTAATCCACATTGGATAATTTATAAAGATTGGGACCGTAAAACCAACATACTGACGAAGCTTTTTTGGATGAATCCTGATCAATTAGAAACTTGGTATCGCTATAATGATGTAATTCTTAATGATAATACTTCAAAAACAAATCGTTATGAAATGTCTCTTTCNAGGACCCCGGAAAATACATATATAGGTCATAAATGATCTGCACAAAATTATGGGTATTTCGCTACCCTTAAAATCAGTTGAATTCGCCAAAAATTGAATTATTACATACAAATTTAGTATTAATTCGCCAAAACTAAAGCATGACTTTATTTTTATATGTAAATAAATATGTAGAAAAAAATTTTATTTATTATATTTATTAAGATTTTATTTATTATTACTTATAAGGAGTGCATTAAAATATTCCTTTGTTTGTCCTTTAAGAATTAATGCTTCTTCACTAATAATAACATCTTTTAATACCAAATGATGAATAATATGAGAAGCTTTAGTATGAGAAAAAATTAAAAAATGATGATCCCGAATCTCTGAAAAAATTGCACCATTAACATGAAAGAAAATTTTCATAGATACATAAGAAAGAGATTTGAGATCTGAAACAGGAGTATCAGTATATGAATGCATCAAGGACTTTTGTTCATACATGGCAATGATTTGAGCAACACAAAATGTATTGTCAAATTTAGCTATTACGAAAGATCCGATTTGTAACGGTAAAAAAGCAGAGTTATCAGCACGTGGATGATCTAAAAATAGAAACAATATGAAAAAAATTCATCTTTTAACAATTAACTATTAATAGATTAGTTTACCTTTTGTGTTATTATCAGTCTTTTTATTTGATTTCCATCTATTTTCTCGTTATTTAGTCAAGGTAGAATCATCATTTTTCGTTAAATATGAAACCAAATTACTGGCTATATTAACATCAAGTTTATCTAAAGTATTATTTTCATTGTTTCTAAAAACAGTTTTTGTTCGTTCAAGATTTCTACTCGTATAGGCATCATGGCTTTGACGTAAATCCAAAAAAAAATCAACATTTAATTCACCATCCAATATATAATTACAGTTGAATTTAGGATCTATTTATAAATATAAAATACAAAATTAGCAATAAAATGAAGAATTAATTACTGTTATTACTTATTATTTACCATTTGGAAACCATGGAATGTCAGGTAATTTTTCTACAAGTTCTACAATTACTTGACAATTATAATTTTTTTCCAT